TAGTCGTTAACATTCACCCATCACAGACACGTTTGATTTTATATAGGAACAAATTTCACAGCACACATTCAACTTCCATGCAGGAAGTCACAGTCAGTGTTCTCACCACCTGAGGCTCTGTGGAAGGCTCCAAGTCTTACTTAGATGAACATGTTATTACTGTTTTAACAGGTGGATGAGTGTGCTAGTGTTTCCTCCACTGGCTAATTTACTCACTCAACTGAAAACATTTACTGAAAACCTTCTGTGTTGCAAAGACCTTATGAAAGTATTGCAAAGAACTCTGGGGCTGGGGAGAGAGAGAGAGAGAGAGAGAGAGAGAGAGAGAGAGAGAGAGAGAGAGAGAGAGAGAGAGAGAGAAGAACTGGAGAGCATCCTTCGGATGCTGGAGGCCCAGCTTCCATCCCAGCAACGCATGTCCCCCAAGCACTCATGAGAATGACTTCCCAAGCATGAACCCTTGAGCACAGCTGACTATGGTCCCTAAACAAAACATCCCCCTCCCCCTAATGTGACCTTGAATTTTGGCTTACTGGTTAGCTCCCGGTTCAGAAGCAAATTATGGGTTCTCCAAACTTTTCTTTCTTTCTATATGAAATGAGGACAATGAGGGTCTGGAGAGATAATATAGCAGTAAAGGCATACATGAATGACCCAGGTTCAATCCCCACCATCCCTATCTCCCTTGGTCATGTGATCCCTGAGCACAGAGCCAGGAGTAAGCCCTGAGCATCCAGGTGTGGCCCCAAACCCAAGAACATAAAAAGTAAAATTAATAAAATTCAGGCAATGAAAAAAATTTAAGGTGAATGGTAAGTAGGGCCATCAAATGAACTAATGAATATGTGCTTAGAACAAAACTTGGAACCTAGTAAAAATTCAATTTTTTCCTGTAATTACCATTAACTGTAGCTGTTGTATGACTTTTAATTGGTGAAGGAAATATCCATCAATTAGTAATATCCACCATTTAGTAACTATTAAAGTAATACAAGGCAGGGGTAATAATACCACTCCTAGTTTCAGAAACCAACTGCAAGGCTGAGGTGCAGGGAGCAGGCCTGGGACCCTGCCCTTCCCCAGGCCTGCAGTGGAGGGAGGAGTTCTAGCTGCAGTTCGCCCGTTTACAGGCACTGCCAGATGTGTATCACTGTCCAAGTTACTTTTCTCTAACCTTATTCTCCCATCTTTTAGGTTGTTGATGGACGGTAGGACGGAACAGGGAGGATGCAAGGCATGATACATGTCAGCATTGCCTAGAGGGGTCTGGGGGCAGGGGCATTCCAAAGTGGTGCTGAGGGGACCTGGGCCCCCTTCCTGGTGATTCTCAGTTAACCGCACCAGTGGTTCAATACAAGGCCCCAGGGATGTGGAACTTGCGGACCTCCAGCACCACATCTAGAGATGTGGGACCATGTGATGCCCTCAGCCCTGTGCTATTTCTCTGGCCCCAAGTTCAAATCTTTACCTGGGCTGCTTTCTTTCTTTCTCTTTATTTTTTTGGGTTTTGGGCCATAACCAGCAGTGCTCCGGTGTTACTCCTGGATTTGTACTTAGGAATCATTTCTGTCAGGCTCCAGGGACCTTGTAGAATGCTGGGGATTGAACCCGGGTCAACCGCCTGCAAGGCTAGCGCCTTACCCGCTGTACTATCACTCCAGCCAAGTATACCATTTAAATGTAAATGAATTAAATGCCACTCAATATTTCTTTCCATCTATGCATTGGCCACAATTCAGATGCTCAACAGCTTCATGTAAATTGTAGCGGCCTCTGGATTGATCAGACACTTCTGGGGTCAGACAGAGACACTTCCGCCATAACAGTGCCCTTCTGTGCCACTACTATGGAATAAGGGTTTGTAGAAGTATATACTTCCAGGGGCTGGAGTGATAGTACAGTGGGTAGGGCACTTGCTTTGCCCAGACACCATATAGTTTCCCAAGCTAGTCAGTAGTGATCACTGAGCACAGAGCCAGGAGTTAGACCCCTGAGCACCATCCAGTGAGGCCCAAAGACTATATATATATATATATATATATATATATATAATGTAGCACTGTCACACTGTCCTCCCGCTGTTCATCGATTTGCTCGAGTGGGCCCAGTAACATCTCCATTGTGAGACTTGTTGTTACTGTGTTTGGCATATTGAATATGTCACGGGTATCTTGCCAGGCATTGCTGTGCGGGCAAGATATTCTTGGTAGCTTGCAGGGTTCTCTGAGAGAGGCAGAGGAATCGAACCTGGCTCAGCTGGGCTAGAGGCTTGCAAGGCAAATGCCCTACTGCTGTGCTATCGCTCCAGCCCATATATATATATATATATATATATATATATATATATATATATATTCTTCCAGGGAATGGTGCAATCTGGGATATTTACCCTGTAATTAATAATACAGCTCAGGTTTCCTTAGTTCCAGCCACCTGCTGTGCAAAGGGCTGGTAGCAAGGATAGGGCTGGACCATGGAGGCCTAAGGTTCAGATTTGAGCCACCATCTGACTTGTCAATAAGCCATGATCCTTTCATCAGTGAAATTCCTCATTTGGTACTGGGGGGCAAATGAGTTCTTTTGTTTTTTTTTTGTTTTTTTGTTTGTTTGCTTTTTGGGTCACACCCGACAGAACTCAGGAGTTACTCCAGGCTCTGCACTTAGGAATTACTCCTGGCAGTGCTTGGGGGACCATAGGGGATGCTGGAATTGAACCCAGGTCGGCTGTGTGCAAGGCAAGTGCCCTACCCGCTATGGTATCGCTCCAGCCCCAGGATGAGTTCTTTAGCTTTTTTTAAACTTTCCCATTCAGCCATGCAATCAGTCTTTTGCCTGCTGCTTTGTGCTCCCATTTTGATAAGGAAACGTGACAGAGAAATGGTGACCTCTTGGCATGGCTAGCTGTGAGCAGGACTTCTCTTGGTGGCTGTGTGCCAAGGTGAGTGGCTGTCACTGCTCAGAACCCTGTCTCTTCCAGGGGCCACCAGTGGCTGCTTTTGGGTCTTACCTAGCAATGCGTTGTGCATGCCGTTGCAGGCAATACTGTTGGAAGGTTCTTCTCTGTTTTCCAGGGGTCTTGTTGCCTTAACTGGTTGGTCACTGACTCAGTGGAAAGAAGCACACCATGACCAACGGTTGTGGAGTGGGGGGGTCTCCAAACCGATTCTCCTTGCTAGTGGGCGAGGGACGGTGATCTTCTGATTTGATCTAGAGAGAGTCACCCAAACTGCATGCTCAGCCTTCACCAGCAGTATCCTTTCAACATCTCTGCTGGTCCCTTGCTTGCTGCTGGCTGTGGTGGAGAGAGAGGAGTGGTTGTATGCTCGGAGGCAACTTTGTGTTAAGCAGCCTTAGACATTTAGGCAAGATGTTGCCTTTTCTGGCTGTTCTGGGTAAAAACTTTTCTTTCTCAGGGCCAGAGAGATAGTCCAGCCAGTAGACTGCTTGTCTTGCAAGAAGTCAGCTGAGTTTGTCCTTGGCATCCCGTATCCCTGACCACTCCCAGGATTGAACTCTGAGTACAAACCCTACAAACCCAGGAATAAGCTGGAAGTGGCCAAAAAAAAAAAAAAAGTTGTTTTTGTTTTTTATTCTCTCTTTGACAAAGGAACAATCACGAGGTTGGGGTACACACTGCTGACCCAGGTCTGATCCCCAAATCTCTGAGCCCTTTCAGAAGTGATCCTGGAGCGAGGAGTAAGCCCTGAGCACAGCCAGGTTTGGCCTCCAAATGAAGAAGAGAAACAAAATCCTGAAGGCATCCTAGCACCTCCCACTGCCTCGGTCCTGCCCAGCTGTTGGACCAGGCGCTGACCTGAGCATGAACACGTGACCGTGTGGGTCCCTCCATCTGGATCACACGGGAGGTGTAACATAAGATGGGTGTTGTGTCAGCCTCGGGTTTTCCTATAGAAACAAGAGTGTGCCCTGAGAGTGAAAATAAATAAGGAATCTGTGACGTGAATAATTAGAAACAGAACGGTCTTCCACTGGAGCGAGCTTTTGCCTTTCTTTTCGAAAGCAACAGGACATTTTGGTGGGTTTTATTTCAAGTTAAACTTGTTTAAAGGATTGAAAAGTTGCTTTAAAATATGGGTTTAAAATATGCAGTCACTTTATAAGAAAGAAAGGGGACAAGACCCTGGGTGAAAGCACTGGGACTTCTGATTTACCCTTCCTGTTGCTGTTATGACCTTGGGTGCTTTGTTTAGCCGTACTGCCGCTGAAATAGGGTTCAAAATACCACCTATAAGTTTTCTCTTTTCTTGCCTCTCCCCACCTTCTCTTTTTCTTTTCAATTGGTTTGTCTCTCTACTTCTCCTTGTTTCTTTTTCACCTCCTTCCCTTTCTTAAGCTGAACCTCACCCCACCCAGGCCACCAGTGGAAAAAGGTTGCTGTTTTCAGCCTGATTGTGGGGAGGAAAAAATTCCTATGAATCACCCCCCTTCCCACCCACCTTGTGGTGGGCTGCTTGTGGCCTTAACCCAGCAGAGGCTGGGCTGTGTGGCGTGTACATCTTCCTGCCCCCCCTGCGTATGCACGTGTGTGATTACAAGCACGTGCACACGCAGACAACCCTACCTGCGTGTGTGGCTGCGTGCGCGTGTGCAAGAGTGCTCCGCCCACCCCAATAGCCTGCAAAGCCTCCTGTGTGCTTATGTCTGTGCGCGCGCGCGCGCACACACACACACACACACACACACACACACACACCCCTTGATGTGCGTGCACACACCAGCCCAGCAGTCTGCAAGCCGGGTGCATGCGTGCGTGTGTGTGTGCGTGCGCGTGCATGCGTGAGTGTGTGTGCGAGCGGTGTGTGTGTGTGTGTGTGTGTGCGTGTGTGTGCCCTTGTATGTCTGTACGTGTGTCTGTGTGCATGTGCGCGCACACGCCAGCCGGCCCGCGCGCCCTGGGCTGGGCTCCTGCCCTCTCGCCGGCCCGGGGCGGGCAGCCAGCACCCCGCCGCCCGGTGCGCGCCCAGCTGTTTCTATAGGAACCGCGGCCGCGCCTCGGCCCCTCCAGCCCCGGCCCCGTGCGAGCATGCCCAGTGCAGGCCGCTAGTTTGGCTCGGCTCTCGGTTTCCAGTAAGTGGCTTGCGGGACTCGGGCGAGATCCCCAGGAGCTGAGCCGGGAGTCTTTGTGTGCAGAGGGAGGCGGCGGCCGCCGGCCTGGAGACCCCGCCGGGGCGCTCCGGGGGCAGCACCATGCTAGCCTGCCTGGCCCGGGGGAACTTACTGGACGTCCTGCAGGAGGGCTGCAACGAGGTAACCGTCCGCGCCCCCCTCTCCCCCCAGCTCCCCGGCTCCCCTCGCCCCGCGCCTCCCGCCCCATCTCGAGAAAGGCCCCCTCCGCCTCCATCCTCCCAGGGGGTTCCCGGGACGCACCGCCCGCACCGCGGTGGGGGGCGTGCACTGGACCCAACCCGAAGGGCCGGCGGCTGCTCGCATCCCGGAGCGCAGCGCAGAGTGGGTCTCTCTCCAAAGGCGGAGGTGGCCTCCATCTTCCCGGGAACGCGCCCAAGGGAATCACCGGGGAAGCCCCCCCGCCCCCCGGACTCCGGCTGGAGCTCGAGGGGTGAGCCTGGGGAGCGGTGGGGTACCGCTGCATTGGCAGAAAGTTTGAGAGCTGGTCTGTGCGCCTTGAAGTTAAAGTCGCTTTCTGCACCCCGGGCAGGAGAGGTCAAACCCAAGGCCTCCCCCCTCCCCTTACCCAGAGCGAACGGGGCCCCAGCACCCCCAGTTTCTGGGCCCGACTCAGAGGGCGCCAGCACTTGCTTCTTTTCTGTGTGAGAGTGGGTGTGACAGGCGTTGGTGCCACGCGTGGCCCTGTTTCTCACCCCTGATTTTCTCGGAAAATTCTCAAAAATCTCTGATTCGCATTTCCTTGTGCCCCCTTCCCCCCTGAGATTCTCTGGGGGAGATCCCTGCCCCTTTGGGTTACCTTATACCAGCCTCCCCCTGGAGACCCCAACAAGCAGAGGTAGATGATCTCCATGTCTTGATTCCTTTTTCCTGCCTCCCTCGCTCCTCCGGTCCCTTTTGGCTCTTTGAAACGTGAGGCCGTGTATCCAGCAGTTGGTCCTTAAACAATGAACACAGATGCATCTGACTCCTGTGACCACCCGCCTGCCGCCTCATCCTCCCAGGATCCTTCTCCTGCCCTGAGCCAGGCTCTTTCCAGGTTCCTTTCTAATTCCTCTTCCTAACTGGGGGGCTCTGCAGCCTGACCTGTCTCAGAACCGTCCCTGTGCCCAAGCTGTTCCTTGCTCCGGAGACAGAGTAATTACCGGAAGCCTGTGGGCCTTGCTCACCCACTGAGTCAGAATTTTCCTTTGGCAGAGCCCAGTCCGCACTCCATGGACGTTTGGGCAGGGCTCACATCTTTGTACCTTCCTCTGGACACACAGACGAGGGAACTAACAAAGAGCTACAGTCCGACGTGCAGACTGGCCAGGAAGCCACAGTTTCCAGTGCTCGCAGAGAGCCTGGCCCCTCTGTCCTCATTCTGCCCCCTGGGTCTCAGGCTTCATGCCTCTGGCTCATCGACCAACTGGGGCAGAAGCTCCTGGGGTTCCCTCCTAGACTGGCTTAGTCTTAGCTCAGCCCCCAGCACTCATGCCCCCCAGTCTGATTAGGGGGAGACGGCAGATCCTGAGCCCTGCCCTGTTCATTTCTCCTTTCACACCTTTCAGCTCAAGAGCTCGGATATGGCTGAAGAGCAAGAAATGTGACTGTCTTTCTCATGGTTTGGGGCTTCCATCATATCCATCAGTTTTTGTAAAATATCAGGGAGAAAGAGAATGAGTGTTTTCTCTTCGAGATGGTAACAGGAGCCTTTGTAACAGTCAAAGTCACAACTTGATCATTAATTGATCTCTTGAAATTGTGCAGTGATGCCTCTTTGCCGCTTGATTTTTCTGCTCAGCTGGTAAACTTCTTTCCACCCCTTCCGTGGGCTAATGTATGATCCATTCCTTTCTATTTATAGACTTGAACTCTGATAGCCCATAAGTATGCATGGGTTCTCTGAGAAGTTGACCTCCTCTAAATAATTGTGCTAATAATATGCTTGGTCTCATTGGTCCCTTAGAGTTTAGCCTTTTTTTTTTTTGTCACACCCAATGGTGCTCAGGGCTTACTCCTGGCTCTGTACTCAGCAGTCACTCCTGCCGGGGCTTGGGGGACCTTCTATCGGATGCTGGGGATCAAACCCCGGTTGGCCACATACAAGGCAAGCACCACGCCCATTGTTCTATCACTTGGGCCCCGAGTCATAAAGAATTACGTCACGTTTCCACATCCTGTGTCATGTTCAGTGCTACCAACTCGTGTAGCACTGGGCTTATTTCAGAGTGGAGAGGGCAGTGTTTGACCTTCTCCTGCCTCCAGCAGCTCCTAAAAGATCCAGTCTTTCTCAGCCTCTTGTCTGAGTCATGTGATAAGGAGGTCAACCGGGACTTTAGTGTCACTTCAGCACCTCTGAGAACTCGCGTACCGAGGCTAAGAACACCATCGTGTTTCCCAGTTCGTCACCGCCTGGGCAGGAGCCAAGCATCACCCAAGCCGTTCTTTATAGCTCCGTGTGGTGAGGTGTGGCCTCATTCTCTCGGGCAGAGAAAACTGCCCCAGGAAAAGCCTCCGAGGCCTTCCCGATGGGTTAGTTACAAGTTTCAGCAGCAGAGAGAAGCCCTGTGCTCCCGCCCGAGGCTTTCCCGAACGCACAGTTGCCTGTGTTCTCCAACCATATGTCTCCACGCGTAACGTGCACAACGCGATTTTATTCTGTCACATTCCCTGCAAGGAGCCCCAGCCTCAACAGCCCTGACAGATGACTCAGAGAATGGCTCCATGCCAGCCAGCGCGGGCCACTCAGTCCTGCCTGCTGGTACAGTGGGTCTGCGTTGTGGATCATTTACAAATCTTAGCCTCCTCCGGTTCTGTGACCCACCCGGCTCCCCCTCCCTGCCTCGCCACACCCCCACCCTGTCGTGTTCTGGGCCCGATCAGGCTTTCACAAACACACAGACACACCCCCACGCCTGCCTCAGAACTATTTGTTTTCTTTGACACTTGGTATTGGGGTTGTCATACGATTGTTGTCTTCGGTTTAACGTGCCAGTGGGCATTTCTGCCTTTGTTTTCTGGGGGTTGAGCATTTCTTTTTTTTTTTAATTTTTCATTTATTTATTTATTTTGCTTTTTGGGTCACACCTGGCAACGCACAGAGCTTACTCCTGGCTCATGCACTCAGGAATTACTCCTGGCGATGCTTGAGGGACCATATGAGATGCTGGGAATTGAACCCGGGTCGGCCTCTTGCAAGGCAAACACCCTACCCGTTGTGCTATTACTCCAACCCCATAGGCTGAACATTTCTTGAAAAAGACTTAGGTGTTTGTGCTGGGAGGTTTTAGTAAATGTGAGGCTAATATGCTTTAGTTGATTGTCAGTCTTTTATTGGGTGTCACGGTAAATAAAATTATTAAACTAATTGAAAAAGATTAGCGTTTGTTGAGCTCAAAGAGGTAGTACGGTGGGTAGGGTGCTTGCCTTGCATGCAGCTGGTTTGGGTCAATCTCTGGCATCCCATATGGTTCACTGAGCACTGCCAGGAGTAACCTTTGAGTATTACCAGGTGTGGTCCCTCCAAAAAAAACATTAGACTTTGCCTTCCCGTGATTGTGTGTGTGTGTGTGTGTGTGTGAGTGTGTGTGTGTTGTGTGTTTGGGCCAAGGATGCAGTTCTCAGGGCTTACTCCTGACTCTGACTCAGGACTCAATCCCTGTGGGGAGTTCGGGATCTGGTGGAGTTCAGGCAACCCCTGGTGATACTGGGGATTGAACCCTGGTTGATTGCATGTCCTACTTGATATATTGTTGCTTCAGCCCTACCTCTAAAGATTTTTTTTTTTGCTATTTGGGTCACACTGACCATGCACGGTGATTACTCCTGGCGATGCTTGGGGGACCATATGGGATGTTGGGAATCGAACCGGGTTGGCCATGTGCAAGGCAAAGGCCCTACCTGCTGTACTATTGCTCCAGCCTCTCTGAAGAATTTTATATGGAGAGACTTATAGGTGTACCAAAAAAACAAAAAAAATATATGGGAAATTAAAATGATAGGTGTCATAAAAGAGGTCGTGTTTGTGGGAGTAGTAGAGATAGCTTCTCCTTGATAAGGCGAAAATCACCAAATATTTACCAACCTACCTGTTCAATGAGGTCACTTGTTTTTTTTTTTTTCCTGCAGATCTGGTAAACATGCAGGCAAGCCCTCACTCAGTGGTTGTTCAGAGTTAGTGTATTTCCCAGGCACCATGCCAGACTGGAAATAGAAGTGACAAAGCATGGAGTCTGTGCCATAGTGAAGCGCACAGGCTAAGAAAGAAAAAAATCAAGGCCCAGAAAATCCTACCTGAGATTATGGCGCTAGAGGAATCCTGCTTGTCCGAGGGAGCCAACCTTTGTCTCCAGTGGAGTGAATGGCTGGAGACCCAGGGAGTTAGAGGGGAGGATGAGGAAATCCTTGGTCCTTGGGGTTGCTTTTGTTTTTGTTTTTTACTTTTTGGACCACACCCAGCAATGCTCAGGGGTTACTTTTTTTTTTTTTTTTTGCTTTTTGGGTCACACCTGGCGATGCACAGGTATTACTCCTGGCTCTGTACTCAGGAATTACTCTTGGCGGTGATCGGGGGGACCATATGGGATGCTGGGAATCAAACCTGGGTCAGCCGCATGCAAGGCAAACACCCTACCCCCTGTGCTATCGCTCAGAAGTAACCACTTCGGGGTTACTTCTGATTCTGCCATCAGGAATTTCTCCCCATGGTGCTCAGGGGACCATATGGGATGCCGGGGATCGAACCCCAAGTGGGCCACATACAAACAAGTGCCCTACCCAATGTATTATTGCTTGGTCCATGTTTACTTCACAGACTTACTTTAGCAGATAACCGGGGAGATTGTCCCCTAACCAATTTCCCTTCAAGGAGGAAGGTAGAAATTTCATCCCTGTGTTGAGAACCATCTGCTTGGTGGCCCCTGGGAGATGCAGGAAGAATCTTGGTGGGGTTCCCTCCCGTGGAGGGGTTCCTTTGAAGTAGCATGAGTAAGGAAGAGTTAAGTAAGGGGGGCAGCTGCAGAGACCCTCTCTCCTCAGTGCTCTTTCTTCTATGGAGTGAAGCCACGACTTCCAGACGTTTCCACAATGCACTCCTCTGTGCTTTGCTGTAGAAATTAAGGGCCTGTTTAGCATTAATGTTC